GTTGACACAATGATATATGACACAATGTATTTTTGTACCACCATTTACGAAGACGGAATAAGCTGTGAAACAATGTTACTTTGTGCCACACACGTAGAGAAAACAAGGTATGAAATCATGTCCCTTTGCACCATAAATGCAGATATTCCCACCAGCAACCAGCAAAGTTTCTGGGCTAAAGGGGTGTCACCGTATTAGATGCCATGCCAGACTCAGAAAATGTTGAATCATGCAGTAAGACAGGATCAATACGAAAATACAAAGAAAATGATCCAACAATATTTATAATTTTACAGAAGAGTTGACACAACAGCTGCAGTTGCAAGACTGACATCTCGCTCACAGGAAACTCAGTATATTTCTCCTTGTTGTCAACACTGCTCAATGTAGACACCAAGTGTTCGCGACAAGGGAACGCATTCCATGCCCTACATGTGGTATCTCCATAGCCGAGTGTTCAAATTATGTCTCAGTTCACTCAGCAGTGAATGGGTACCCGGTGGGATGAGATAGTAATGTGCAATTTTTGAGTTCATCATTTGGAAATTTCTAATGCGGCAAGTATGGGGTTTGAGCAGGTGTTAATTATTATCTTTTGACCCAAATATGGACGTTCGCCTTTGAAAACCTTTGTTTTCTAGAGTTGACATCTCCTCTAAAGCAATGTGGTCATATGAAACTTTGCAAGGATGATTTTGGAAACACATGTTAACAGGGTTCCAGTCAATTTTGTATCATGGCCACCCATGCAATGCTATTGAAAATGGCATTTCTGCATTATTCCTGAATTGACATTAGAACTCAGTACATCCTTTTGCCTGTCATGTGGATAATTTCCAGGGATGATATTCTGCAATCTCACCAGTGTAAGGACAACCAGCACTGTTCAGGCTGTTACAGAAGTCCAGGACGTTGACTCACAGACTATGACTCTGGGTATTTGGATAATAAATGCAGGTATATGTGCAACAAGAACGGCGGAAATCACCCTTGTCAGTTGTCAGTCCTGGCACTGGTGCTTGCACTGAGGGTTGTGTCTATTCATGATATGATAGCTTCCCTATGTCTACTGTAATTAGCACGTTACATGTATGATTATATTCATGACGTTAAGACTTTCCTGGTGATATATCCACTGTATACATTCATTAAATTATAGATTGCTGGTAACAGGTTTTGCAGCTCGTTTGTCATGTGAAACACAACACAACCAAGACAGATTGGAACTTATATGCCATGGAATAGATGTGAGTGAGTGTGGTGAACCACTTGGCCCCAATGATAGTGTTTCTGTAGAAACATGTATGACATGAATTGATATGAACCACTTGTCCTAAATGATAGTGTTTCTGTAGGAACATGTATGCCATGGAATAGAGGTGAACCACAGGGGCCCAATAATTGTTTTTCTGTAGGAAGGTATATACCATGGAATGAATGTAAAACACATGGCCCCAATGATAGTGTTTCTGTAGGAACATATATAGCATGGAATACATTTGAACCACTTGGCCCAAATGTTAGTGTTTCTGTAGGAACATATATACCATGAAATAGGTGTGAAATACTTGGCCCCAATGATAGTGTTTCTGTAGGGACATTTATACCATGGAATATAGTTCTTCTTGTTTTTCATTGTCCCATATCCACAGGTCTTGACGCCGCAATTTTCTTTGTAGAGTTTTGTGCCTCAGTAGATTCAGGATTGGATTATATTAGTTCGAATTCCAGATTGTTTCTGATAATGATCCTATTGTTGTCAGCATGTTGTTGCGTCATGGGTTTCAACCTACGTGGCGTTAGACTTGTCTGCTTTATAGTTACCAATCCCTGTTATCATCAGATGCATCATGTAATCTGATGCTACTCTACCCATGTCATCTCGACCTGACTTATAAATATTCTCACTGCACTGATTCTGACGGGAGCGTGGCATCTAAAGTGATAAAGCCCATGTTGCACGAACTGTCTCATCTTATCGTTAAACTGATTATAACAGGGACCTGTATCGAACGTACACTGATAACAGTTTTTGATGTGTCGTCTTTTCTTTACTGGACATAACCTGTTAATTTTTATGATTAAAACATTACACACAATCATTAGTTTCGTGTCAGCTACATATTTCTATTTCCGAGGTAGGATAGAAAGACGATATGCCTTTAAACCATGATAGCTAGTCGTAACTAAAACGGTGTTTCATTGCTTCGAAATACATATATTCTGTGACACCACAATCCGTCTTTCAGTATTCCCGTGTAACGACGAATATCATCTATGTCTGACAGAGCAGCTAATATACATGCTGGACCTCCGCCGTGGGGGAAGATACATCAGGAAAGGTGTGTGTGTGTGTGTGTGTGTGTGTGTGTGTGTGTGTGTGTGTGTGTGTGTGTGTGTGTGTGTGTGTGTGTAGGGGGGGTATCAGTGTGCGTGACTCGGTTTATTCAATATCGGTCCATCAATATCGTACGCTGCTCGTACGTCCCCCTCTCACATATTGTGTAGTCCTGGACACCCATGTCTGAAATAAGGCATAACATAAGGTCATGCTCGATATTACAGAAGTTTTGTTAGTTATTGACATACAGCTACGTCATTAACTTTCTGTTTTAAAAGGATAACTTGTTTCATTCATTCGGGTAAATTGATATCAAAACAATATACTGTAAGTCAGTTATACATAACCCAACCCATGCTTGTACACTGGAAATACGAATGATAACGAATTCCAAACATTATTTATGCTTTACGTTCATGACCGAGTGACTGAAAATGATAGGAAATTCAAAGTACACAAAGTCCTTCCCATGCTTTCTTACGGATCTGAGAAGTCAGATGTATAAACGTTGTTCAAATCGAGCTTGTAGATGTGTCATGGAAGTGGGATGTAAAACATCAAATGTGGCTGTTCGTGGTGAAATGGGCTGGCTATTACCATCAACTTTACAGCGGATTATCCGATGTTGGAAAAAAAAGTGTCTGTCAGTCAATCAATATTGGCCAGGACTGTGAGTGATTGTTCAACAAGATTCCTTAAATTGTGGAGAAACACAGTTATATCCATGTTGACTGAGCCTAATATCCATATTCTTGATATATACACCATTTCTAACAGTCAGATCGAGCTACTCAAACAGAAAATTATTAATGGAAACAAGCTACGAACATACAGGCTCTTTAAATATGGCCTTAACGCCAAGCAAAACGCCCTTAACCCGGAATCAACGCAGAACACGAGCGAAGTGACGTTGCGGTACATTGCCACTAGAGATTGAACTAGGTCGTTTAAGAATCCCCAGCCGCGATACACAATCGCGTTGTTACTGATGTTTCAACGGAGAGAGATAACGCTTATCAGTTAATGCAGGTATACGCTGTATTGCACAGATTTGACATAGCACATGTTATACAAACGTGCATTTCAGATTTACAAAACCTATGAGCATAAAGAAATATAAAGTAAAAGGCTAAATCATTAAAGTAAAACCTTGCTGCGCTGACGTCACACAATAAAACTTCTATTAGATAATTTTCTTTGTCAATTTGAATTTTATTACGTATTAACTATCATATAGCTTGTACAGTAGAAATGTGAGGTGGAGGTTGGGTGATTTAATAAGTGTTACAGCTTGTCCTGTTCGTCTCGTTTTGAATATGTCCGTCATTCCTATTTAAGGACTGCTGATTGACGCCTCAAGCGACATGCCACCTGTTATTCATGTTACGTCTTCATTGTAGATAGATAATCATAAATGTCAATCAGTTAAAGTCAATATATTCCTTTCCGTTTGAATTAAACTGTATCATATTAATTGCACATATTTTCCAATCAGAATGTTGTGGTACTTCTGTAAATGCATTCACTGTCATGTAAAAAAACCTATAATTGTACTGGTGAGAGAGAAGAGAGACGCCCGGGGTGGCAGTCGACTCATGGACCCCCGGGCACACTCGTGGTCGACGCCTACCAGTGTCCGGGTAATAACCGCTCTACATACAATCTGACTTTAGTCTTATGTTCGATCCCATTTGGTCTGTCTTTTATGAATCGATATATAGTGAGTGAGTGAGTTGGATTTAACGCCGCTTTTAACATTATTGCAGTTATATCACGGCGTGTCAACTTAATGTGGGAGGAAAGCCCGAAATGATGCAGATCTCAGACGTTAACCACTTCGGTGAAACCCACGAGCACGGGTATGGTGCTGACAAACCTAGAAACATACTCGGGGCGAAACCTGCTCCTGTGGATATCATTATGAGGATCCAACACTTCTTTTCATGTCGCAACTACTGCAACCTGTACTACTATATAAATGGATATGACTTGGATTCAGTATTATATGGAAATGCCATAACATCTACTGATACTAACCTTGCTATTGTACAATCTGTCCATTTGTTCATTGCAAAATCTTAAAGAATGAACATTTGATTATGTCTTCTTTACGATTACATCAATCAAATAGTTGTTTGTATGTGTGATATGCTGGTATGCTGTTTGTTTATGTACCGATGCATGTATGTATGTATTTGTTTGTGACTTGTATATTCGCATCAAAATATTTGCAGCAGTAGGGGCAATTAATCTTAATATATTATCTAATGTACAGTTTACTCTTATTAGTTATTAAATGGCCTATGTAAGAGAGAGGTGGTTAAATTGGTTTAACCTGTTCACCAATCCCAAAACCATAAACAAATAGACCATAAAATGATATACATTCAAACACCGTTGTGTCCAAGTTGAAGAGACTTACACAGCTAGTTCGAGTTATCCGGGGCTCGACACAACCAACAATGACGAATAAAGAAGAAATACACAGGTACATACATAGGTAAGTCTATGTTTGACCGTATATCTAACATCGGCAAGGGTCCCATGCACTGACATTGTAATCACCAACCTGCAGGTACAACACTGTTCAAATGTGACGCTTATCAGTTTATTACCGTGAAGCTGGAGAGAGTCGAACCAAACACTCGCGGATCAGAGCGGTGTCGGACGTGGACGTTGACGATGTCGGTCGTGGATTGTATCTATTAGCGTGAAGGTGAGTGAGGTAACCTTTATTACGACAAAAACCTTCACTGTTCAGGGAATTACGGAGTGTCTGCCCGAGATGAATACACTGTAAATGTTATAGAAGACTGTTATCGTATTTCCTAGTCAGATCAGTTTGTCTTGGGCCAGCTACAATTTTTACATGCATACACTCAGAGATTGTGTATTTGATTAGCGGGATCTTTAATAAATACAATCATGAGGTTCTCGTCGTCGAACATCAATACCGATACTGGTAATGCCTCTGGATGTACTGCCGATTTCTCATACAATTTTCATTAAAAAAAAGCATGTTGCTGACGCTGGCAGCAAAAGTGTGATGGCATTCACTATCCTGGACTGTGATTGCATTCACTATCCTGACTTGTTATGGCATTCACTATCCTGGACTGTGATGGCATTCACTATCCTGACTTGTTATGGCATTCACTATCCTGGACTGTGATGGCATTCACTATCCTGTACTGTGATGGCATTCACTATCCTGGACTGTGATAGCATTCACTATCCTGGACTGTGATGGCATTCACTATTCTGGACTGTGATGGCATTCACTATCCTGAATTGTGATGGCATTCACTATCCTGGACTGTGATGGCATTCACTATGCTGGACTGTGATGGCCTTCACTATCCTAAATTGTCATGATTTTTACTTTCATGAATTGTGATGTCATTCACTATCCTGAACTGGCATTCACTAACATGGACTGTGTTGGCATTCACTATCATGAACTGTGATGGCATTCACTATCATGAACTGTGATGGCATTCACTATCGTGAACTGTGATGGCATTCACTTTCATGAATTGTGATGTCATTCACTATCCTGAACTGGCATTCACTAACATGGACTGTGTTGGCATTCACTAACATGGACTGTGTTGGCATTCACTATCATGAACTGTGATGGCATTCACTATCGTGAATTGTGATGATATTCATGATCATGAACTATGTTGGCATTCACTAACATGAATTGTGTTGGCATTCACTATCATGAATTGTGATGGCGTTCACTATCCTGGACAATGCTTGCATTCACTTTCCTTAATTGTTTTGATATTCACTATCATGAATTGTGATGTCTTTTACTATCATTAACTGTGATGTCATTCACTATCCTGAATTGGCATCCTGTTGGCATTCATTAATATGAACTGTAATTGCATTCACTATCATTTACTGTGATGGTATTCACTTTCCTGATTTGTGATGATATTCATTATCATGAACTGTGTTTGCATTCACTATCATGAATTCTGTTGGCATTCACTATCATGAATTGTGATGGTATTCACTATCCTCAATTGTGATGACATTCACTATCCTGAAATGTGTTGGCATTCACTAACATGAACTGTGAGAACATTCACTATCCTGAACAGTGATCATATTCACTATCCTCAATTGTGATATTCATTATCATGAATTGTGTTTGCATTCACTTACTTGAACTATGAGGACATTCACTATCCTGAACTGTGATGATATTCACTATTACGAACTGTGTAAAACATTCACTATGATGGACTGTGATGGCCTTCACTATCCTAAATTGTCATGATATTCACTATCATGAATTGTGATGTCTTTTACTATCATTAACTGTGTTGTCATTCACTAACTTGGACTGTGATGGCATTCACTATCATGAATTGTGATGATATCCATTATAATGAAATGTGTTGGCATTCACTATTATGAATTGTGATGTCATTCACTATCTTCCACTGTTTTGGCATTCACTGTTAAGAATTGCGAAGGCATTCACTATCATTAACTGTGTTGGCATTCAATATCATGAACCGTGATGGCATTCACTTTCCTTAATTGTTATGATATTCACTATCATGAATTGTGATGTCTTTTAATTTCCTAAACTGTGTTGGCATTCACTATCCTGGACTGTGATTGCATTCACTATCATGAATTATGATGGCATTCACTTTCATGAACTGTGTTGGCGTTCATAATCATGAAGTGTGATGGCATCCACCATCCTGACTTATGACGGCAATGACTATCATGAACTGTGTTGCTTTCACTATCATGAACTGTGTTGTCATTCATTGTAAAGAATTGTGATGGCATTCACTATCATGAACTGTGTTGCATTCACTATCATGAATTATGATGGCATTCACTATCATGAACTGTGATGGCATTCACTATCATGAATTGTGATGATATCCATTATAATGAAATGTGTTGGCATTCACTATTATGAATTGTGATGTCATTCACTATCTTCCACTGTTTTGGCATTCACTGTTAAGAATTGCGAAGGCATTCACTATCATTAACTGTGTTGGCATTCACTATCATGAACCGTGATGGCATTCACTATCCTTAATTGTTATGATATTCACTATCATGAATTGTGATGTCTTTTACTTTCCTAAACTGTGTTGGCATTCACTATCCTGGACTGTGATTGCTTTCACTATCATGAATTATGATGGCATTCACTATCATGAACTGTGTTGGCATTCATAATCATGAAGTGTGATGGCATCCACCATCCTGACTCATGACGGCAATGACTATCATGAACTGTGTTGCTTTCACTATCATGAACTGTGTTGTCATTCATTGTAAAGAATTGTGATGGCATTCACTATCATGAACTGTGTTGGCATTCAGAATCATGAAGTGTGATGGCATCCACCATCCTGACTTATGACGGCAATGACTATCATGAACTGTGTTGCTTTCACTATCATGAACTGTGTTGTCATTCATTGTAAAGAATTGTGATGGCATTCACTATCATGAACTGTGTTGGCATTCAGAATCATGAAGTGTGATGGCATCCACCATCCTGACTTATGACGGCAATGACTATCATGAACTGGGTTGCTTTCACTATCACGAACTGTGTTGGCATTCGCTATTCTGGACTGTTATGGCATTCACTATCCTGAATTGTGATGACATTCACTATCATGAACTGTCTTGTCATTCATTGTCAAGAATTGTGATGGCTTTCACTACCATGAACTGTGTTGGCATTCACTATGCTGAATTGCAATGTCATTTACTATCCTGGACTGTGATGACATTTAGTATCCTGAATTGTGATGGCATTCACTATCCTGAATTGTGATGACATTCACAATGCTGAATTGTGATGACATTCACTATCCTGGACTGTGATGACATTCACTATCCAGAATTGTGATGACATTCACTATCCTGAATTGTGATGGCATTCACTATCCTGAATTGTGATGACATTCACAATGCTGAATTGTGATGACATTCACTATCCTGGACTGTGATGGCATTCACTATCCTGAATTGTGATGACATTCACTATCCTGGACTGTGATGACATTCACTATCTTGAATTGTGATGACATTCACTATCCTGGACCGTGATGGCATTCACTATCTTGAATTGTGATGACATTCATTATCCTGGACTGTGATGGCGTTCACTATCATTAACTGTGATAGCATTTACTATCATTAACTGTAATGGCATTCACTATCATTAACTGTGATAGCACTCACTATCAGTATCTGTGATAGCATTCACTATCATTAACTGTGATAGCATTCACTATCATTAACTGTGATGACATTCACTATCATTAACTGTGATGACATTCACTATCAGTAACTGTGACAGCATTCACTATGCTGAATTGGGATTCGGGTGTCCTCCCGCTGAAAGCTTACTTATTGCATAAAGTAAGCTTCATTGAGTCCTAATTGACTACGCACAATACAAATTGGACTGAGCAGCACTAACAGTAGGTCAAAGGAACGATACAAATTGAAATTAACAGAAACACTCAACCCAACAAGGTGTACATGTTCTGATTCTTGGCTTGTCTTGGGTGCATCCGTCCCAGGCTGTGGCTCAGCTTGACATCCCAGCTCTCTCTCCTGTTGACTCTCTCTGTAGAAGGACAGAATGCGTGACTCTTTTGTGTTCTTGTGGTGCATTTCCAGAGTTGACTCAGCAATTTACAGGCATCCACCTCAGTTATAACAACATTTGTAAAAACTGGTCAACCTGTACTTGTGTAACATACGAGAAAAGTTCATCCATCTTCTTGTTTCCCATTTGCATGCAGTGGGTGGTCCTTCTTGTACTGACTACGATATTTCAAAGCAAATTTTGGTGGTGACAATATGGGTCATAACCAGAAGAATCTAGACTTCGAACAAACTAATTCCGGATCCTGACTCAACTAAGGGCCACAACTGTGATATCTGGACCCGGTTGTAAATGTTGACTCTTAGAAAGCAAGTAGTGATGCAGTTGTATGCTGTAGATTATCTCCAACTGTTGTCACTGTTGTAACCGATTTCCTTATTTGTGAGCAGAACACAAGCGAATCTGAAACCTTTAAATATGAAACCAACATTGCATCATTTGGGGCAGAGTGCGGGCAATGCTCGTAACTCGCACAATGTGTGTTTTTATACCTAATGTCCATAGTCAGTATACATTAACTGAGATACACTAAAGATGTCTCCAAACGATATTGCACTGCAAAATAGCATTGCCCCTTTTATATGGTTCCACATGATGTGTAGAGGTTATCACGCAAATGTGTTTTCAGGTGACAAGTACCATGTATTATGAATAAACAATGTAATAAGTGAGATGAAATGGGGTAAAACGTCGCGTTCAAGATTATTGCACTCATATAGCTTGTACCAATCCTTATTAATGCCGATTTTATAGTGCTAGCCCACTTTTACCATTGGTCTAAAGGATCCCACAACCGTTACCTGAAGATATTGCCTCTCCGTGCCGTCATGGTCAGTTAAGCCATGCCTCTGCAACTCGCCTGGTCATCTGAGTTTCTCTAAGTCAATGAGTGAGGGGTCTGACGACTGTTCCTCCCAACTTCCGCCATGAGCAATCGTATACCAGCAGACACACATACCGGGATGAACACAATACAAGGTTTGATACTCAATTACGTTTACTAAGTTTCAGTCCAACCCTAAACAAGACAGGGTAGGCTGTTCACATATAGGGTAAACAGGGTAAACTGGGAGATGGCGATTTGCCTCTGCTATCTGTTCGCACTACTCTCCTGGTGTTAAAAGTATCTTTTTAAATTGTTCGAATCTGACCTGTCTTTGTCACATGTCTTCAAAAAATAATTTGATTAATCAAATACTATATCAGATCATGAACTGATGTTTGTGTCGTGGTGAAAAATTATTGACCGATTTATCACTGTTGACGACAAAAGACCTATACAAGATCGCTAATGTCTTATACAGTTGTAAATACTTGAATTCATTCATTGCTTTTTTATAAACGAGCTATTCGTAGTCGGCAACGAGTGGAACGTCTATCAGCTAGTGACATGCTGGAGGGTTTAGATCTTTAATTACTAAGTCATATTATTATTATTATTATTATTATTATTATTATTATTATTATTATCATTCAGACGAAATATACCCCTTCAGATGTGGCATTAAATTTGAAAAACTGCATGCTTAGCTCACACAGAAATAAAGATACATTTCACCCTTCATATACATCCCATTAATTACTATTTATCCATGGTACTCGCCTCCAGTGATATTGTTCAACTTGAGTCGTTAATGCTGAAACGTGGGGACACGAGGCGGAATTGCGACAACATTTATTTGCCTGTATTGTGATGACACTCACTGACATTCTATGACCCCTTGGCTAACTGGCCAGTGTTATTGTACATGCCTGTTTAAAGTGTCCCATTGACGAGGCAATAAGCATATGCATTGATTGAAATTAATATATACACTAATAAAGTCCTTGGAATATTTTCAATCCTTTTCTTACAAAGTGTACATACACGTGTACATTTGACATTAACCTTTTAACTGGCACATAGCTCAGTAACTTTTAATTTCATAGTTCTAAACACACTAAATCTAAGCAATGTCCTTGTTAATGCTTACACAAATACATCTGCATCTTCTTGGTCTAAACATCAAAATCTATAAATCCTGTACAAGTGAAACCAGACTTATAAACTGTGGAAATGACATCGAAGTCTGGAAAATGAAACATTCGACCTATCATAAAAGCAAAATCTAAACAAATCACTGAAACTGAAACACATAAATTGATTCTGGCAAATAGCAACCATTGCTGGTAAAATGCAGAAGGTGTCAACTGCTCTCTGAAATTAGTGTACTTACAAAACGTCCTTATAATTAGGTACTCATTGATGACATCAATGTTGTTATGAAACTACTCCAACCCGGACATAACCCCAAGATACCAGGTTAAGTATGGATAAAAAATTAACTGTCTCGACAAACCTTCACCCAACAAGGCGGGGAGACACATTGCGACTGTATTACGTGACAATCACATCGATCGACAAAACTCAGTCACAGGCTTGTTCATAAAACGACTGGACTCTTCCTACCAATGGTGGTATTATAACAGCTGAGATTTATATAGGTTAGGAGTGATTAACAGTACCCCCTGCGTCTCCCTTGCGTCTGAAAACCCTCATTACTAATATATATTGTTCCAAAAAAATGACAGAATGATAAAATTACACACCCTTTTGTATATAAAATGGGATACCTCATTTCTTTATATTGAACTGCTTTTAGTAATCGTCAGGGGGATCCTGTCTCAACATTTTCTCTATGTGATGTCTGTCCGATTGTATAACATTTGGTGACTGCCTATTGTTATTTGACAAAAACAAAACAAAATACAAAATATTTTTAGACCAAGCATGCTGTAGTTACAGTGTATCACTCTTCGATTGGAGGTACATAGTTCACTACTGTTTCCGGCCACTCAACAACAACCGGGCGCACGAGGTGAGTGTATGTGTTATCGTCAACAGGAGACTCCTCTGCCGCAGCAACATCATTGACGGAACTGTCACAGTCTGCTACAAAGCAGTCTGCCAGAACAGGCATGACAGGGGCAGCTCCAGTTACCGAGTCGTCTCCTCTTATCCCTGGCAGCTCACACACGATGTCCACATCTTCGTCTCTGATTTCACAGTAGTCCGGGGGTACCTGGTCCTCATGGCGTGGTGCTTCATGTGGAATAATTCCCTGTATTGTGTGCTGTCTGTGAATAAGAAAAAGTGCATAAGTCAAGCTTTATGGTGGCGTAATGTAAATAATCCAGTCTGATTGTTGTCTGATTATGTCCGTCATCATTGGGTACGATGACAAGAAATCCGGCAGTCACCAAGCCCAATAAGCATTGGTTACTTGGGATCTACACTACTGCCTAGAATTTCATTCCCCTTACACGCATGGGCAACGCGTTACGCAACCAGTGTGCAAGAAACAAGAAAAGTGCATAAGTGGTTCAATGAAGCATGGTTATGTTAAGAAAACAGTTGAAAACGCATGAATGTGTTAAACCATACATATATATCTCTTTTCATTAAAGTAGTTGTTGTTTATATACAATTACTGTACTTACTTAAAAAATCTTAAATGTTTGCAGTAGACGGGTGATAAGGCCAGCAGGATGATCACTACAAAAAGTGAAAAGGCTGCTGAGAGTCCAATCTTCAGGTCAGCAATGCTGCTGTCACTATCACCTGAAATGTATAAGATTATATGTAGAAGTAATGTAATTCCAGCTTATTCAATAAGGGCAAATAACACAATACTTCAATGCAACAAAGGACACATGCATGGAAACACTCTACCATCTGAACACTCGAACTTCTTAAGTTGCCTTTTAGCAAAATATAGACAAGGTAAGTAATATAACACATTCCACTGAACTGATGCAACCAGGAAGTATTATAGAGTTATAGTTACCTTGGTTGCAATGTTCCACTCTTAGACATTGAACGTGCAGGTAGAATCACACTTCCGTCCAGTCAGGTTGCAGCCTATGGTGCAGGTGCCAGTCTTCTGATCACAGACACCATCAAGACACACTCCACACGTCTGCTGGCAGAGTCCACCATAGAAGCCACGTGTACATCCGTCTGTACACTTCCCGCTGTCCGAGTGACACATGTTGTGAAGGCAGTTGACAGGGCAGGGTTTACAGTCTCTGCCGAAGTGTCCAGGTACACAACCATCTACACAGTCACCTGTAGACTTGCATAGTTTATTGGCGCAGTTAGGACTGCATGGGGAAGAGCACTGTTGACCATGCCAGCCCTCTTCACACCCGTGGATACAATCCCCACTAGCTCTGTGGCAGTCACGTAAACCAGCATCTGGTGCCTGTAGAGGCTTGCTGGTAGAAACGTTGGGGTCTGGTCCACAATTTTCACTGCACTTCTCGTTGCAGAAAATGCTATAAAATCCAGGAAGACAGCCATCTGCGCATCCATGTTCACAGGATCCCAGGCAATGATCACAGGAATAGGCACAGTTTGGACCGAAATATCCTGGGTGGCACTCAATCCTGTTATCGTGTTGCAGGACTTACATCTACTTGAACACGTCTTACAGTCAATCCCGTAGTAGGAGTCTACACATCCAGACATACATGAGGAGCCCAGCTGACAATATCCTCCATCACAACCACCTGGACATGCTGCACAGGTACCTCCTGGACTGCCACAGCATACGTTGCACCCAGAGCCTTGATATCCGGAGACACACCCCTTAATGCAAGCACCTGAACCAGAGCTTGACAAGTGGCATGAGCGGTTTCTGCAGTTCTTGCTGCACACTGACGTGCTCATCTGATCAAAATACCCAGTGTCACAGTCTGTGAGACAATGTCCTGTACTTTTGTCACAGTCTGAACAGTGCTGGTTGTCCTTGCACTGGTCGCCTGAAATGGAAAGGACTACAATATATGATTTTTGAAACTATGGCATAAAACTGTAATAAGAGCACCTGTCACATAAACAGCATACAATGACTTCTAATTCAAGAAGGCAACAATATGTTGTTACCCTACCACATTTAAGAATATCTAAGCAGTGACTTTGTTACGTTGGGCAACATTTTAAGACAAATTCTGTACACGAACCACTGACTGAGATGTATCATTAGCAAATCAATTTATTGGACACCTTTCCGGATAAGAGAATGCAAGCAGATAAGAAGATGAGATAATGTCAAGCTAAAACCTTTCAAGCTTACCTTTCGAAGAAACTATCAGATATGTCGCACATATGAACTTCAACAGTGTCATGATGTGTTCTGAAAGCTCAACACAACATGACTACATACAGTTGTGTGTTGTTACTGTAAGCTGTGCCACACTGTCCAGTGCAAAGCTGCGTCTGTGTGTGTGAAGTTGTTTTGTCCTTATGGGCAGTCAATGACTCACTGTCTTGCAAATTAGTTTACGGCAACTGTTTTCTTTTTCCTCCTCAGCCGGAAAAAATGAATCGTGCAGGGTTATGATTTTCACAACCGCTTGATATGTTTCTTTCATGTGTACACATATTGTGCTCCATACGTTAGGATGGTCTTTGTATCTATTTTCAAGATTAACCCACACACTCTTTAAGGAAAACATATCATCTTTCCAAAATCAAGATATATTTGCAAATATACCAGTGAAGATTTGTACTGTAGGCACACCAAACAAACTATCACGTATAAAGGAACAGGGGTTGACTTTAAAAGATTCGTCCCTTAGTCGTGTATGAATAATACGATTGTTGGTTTGAATCAGAGATCGCCTTGTTTGTCAGCACCACAGACCACACCCGTTTTCGTGAGTTTCAACAATTTGGTAAACGTCCCCAAGACTGTCAGAAGTTCCGATTTTCCTCCTGCATTAGAACAACAATAATGGATAAACGTCCTACGAGATAGGTGAAATGGTTTTTGATGTGAAAACCCCCACAAAAGAAATCTCCGATTAAAATAGTATTTAATACATCGTCTGTAGGAACCATGCATTCCATTATACTTGATATGCATTTCCTTGAAAGATATAATACGTGTATAACCTTTGATACTTGTGTCACATTTAAGTAATTTTGCCACATTGGATCAACTGTTATGACACAATATGTCAGTTTGGAATTCATTTTCCTTAGAATAAGGATTTTACTTTTTAAACCGAGATTGAAACAAAACGTCCTTGACCAAAACTAGGATATATTTTTAGCAAGAAATAGAATATTTTTCCAGTTTACAGTTTTGTTAAAAATAAACCGATGACGGCTGAATGACCGAGTTTCATCACAAGCCCAGTTTTGCTGAGTTAACTACAAAACAAATGTATGGGCTGAAACATTTAACCCACTCCCACCCAACCCTACCCCACCCAACCTACCCATGTGCACAATTGATGAAAGGAAAGATGAGTGTTCTGCATGAACGCCGCGTCTGGATGACGTCACACATAAAACAGTTCGCCAGCGGAAGGAGAGAACGACGGTGTGTGACGAGGTATGGTGCAATAACAGGAAACCCATACTATAATTAGTTCACCGTCGACAATTGAAATGTGACATTGCCAGTAACTAATGGCCGTATAAGACGGGAGGGGTTATTCTTTACAATTGGATGGTTAAAAGAAGGCTATGCACACGGACCTATTTAAATCGAGTGATCGGTTAGTCCCGAGTCCGGGTCCGCTTTATAGTGTGGTCTAAGTGACGCATGTAAAAGCCATGTACTATTTATGTTCTTATCATCATGCCCTCTGAAGGTTGGAAAGAATATGTGTCCATTGTTTATTTTAATCCTAAACATATTGCTTCAATTTCGCGGCCGGCAAAGCTATAGTGTATGGTTAAAAAGGAAGATACTTGGACATCAGTTTATGGGCGAGATATGCGGAGTCAGTAGTCCTTGTACACCATGACTTATTATTATTTAGATATTTTAGATATATGAATCACAGTACCAATCACAGACATTAATGAGAAGAATGAATCAGCTGTATGACAAGAACCATACATTGAGCTTTTAAAGAAATAGGACACAACCCAAAGTGGAAATGAGTCATAAGGCTTAAATGAAATCACTCAGAATTAGAATAGGGGATCAACTGAGAATCCTTCATGTGAGATATCCTCATCAAAGAGATTATAAAACAAATGGACTTAGGAAATCTTCATTGACAGAAAGACCTTATACCTCTTTGTCATGAATGAAATATATGTATATTTATTTGACTCTAGTATGCTTGATTTATCATGCTATATTAATGTATACTCTTGAAAAAAGAAACTGTACATCAGGATTGCAGCTGGGTTTGTTTTTCGAGTCGATTTCATAAATATGAAACGTACAGGGTAGGTGGAAAGTAAGGAACGATTATGGCCTCCTCGAGCTGCTATCACCTCATGGCAGCCACTGCCCATGGACGCGATCAAAGTTTAAATAACAGTCCAGGGATGTTCCGCCACAACACACCTTCGTTCGTCAGAACACACGGGCACGTCCATCAGCATGTCTCAGCAGAAGAGGGGTGAACAGAACACGTCTCCATCTTGCTTGAGGCCATGTGACTCTCTGACGACACTCCTGCAGACGGAGGTGATACGGCGACAGTATGGCTAGAATACCCGCTTCTCTCAGACGATTTCAAACAGTCTGATCCGATATTTGTCGCAGATCCGGTACTCGGGAGGCCGTGACGAAATGGTCCCGCGGGTGTCGTACTCGCATGTAGCGATCATGGCCAGGCGAAGTAACGCGAAGTCGTCATGACTTAAGCCTATCACGAATGCTGCCTTTGGTTTTGTAAGTTAGAGATGGTCAATCTGGTCACACCCACCACCCGCCACATGCTGTTGTGTTTCACCCCTTTGCAGTCAGCCGATGGCGTTGTTGCGTCGAACTTCTGATAGACGTGGCATTTTAACGGCTTGTTTTCTGATTTTCTGATGTGTTTGTCAGCAGTCATTGTCATGGCCTTTTAAGCCTCGCTAACAGAGGAATAGCAGCTGCGTTTCGGCGAATTGCTCCGTCGCGATGTCACAACATTACATTTTGGACATCTGCATGTTTTGAAAATTTAATGAAATATAATGATTATTTTAAAAAAATAAATGTCTACCATACAAAAAAGATCGGATCCGGTTTCATCAAATGCATTATGCATGTTTATTTTGTATGAGTATGTTATGGGCCAGTGGCCTGTTACTGAAATAAACGTCTGACTGTACTATAGTCATGGGATATTTATCTATTTGTCATTATACTTAATTACTTAATTAATTTTATTTTTATTACAAGAAACCATCCATACCTTTTTTCGCTTTCAGAAAGTCATGTAATATACTAACTACGGGTGATTGTTCAACTGCTAAAATCTGTAAAATGTCTTAATTATTAGAGTCGTTTGAGGCGAGTGTGAATCTAGAGATGGCCCGCCGCATAAAGTTAACGGTGAGCTGATAAAGCGCTGGGGTGGGTTGTCACCAGGGTTCACTTGGTGCAAACATGGTCGATTCCGTGCAGGTCCGACTTCAGGTGATTGTTGTCTCTTCCTACTTGATAGACCTATTTGATAGGCGTCTTCTTGGCTGGAAGACTGACTGCAGTCCTTGCACACATTTCACTACCATGTACGGTTTGTTTATTGGGCAGAAGATGCCGTTTTTATTTTAAGAAGTCGGCTACAGTTGAGGTCGTCTGGTGTTACAGTTGTTTCGCATAATGCATAATTTTCGTGCAATATTATATCATTTGTTTGTCTGATAGTAGAAGAGTAAATATGTGTAAACGTTTGAGAAGGGTGTACATCAACTTATTTTATATACAGCTGATACCTCACAAACGTTATTGATTTGAAAATATCCGAGGTGAAGAAATATACTAAAGTATTTTTAAAAGAAAATAAGCAATTACTTGAACTACTATGTTTCAAATAAATATACCTTGGACTATTTTTCTGAGAGAGAATATTTCCTCAAACTAAACATGCAATGCTATCAAGGGCAACCTGGTGACATATTGGTTGACGATCTCCGATGATATGGTGTTTTTTTTCATTCAGTATCGTTGACGAGTTCAAACTCATGTCATCTGCGTGACGAAAGGTATTTATAACCTTATTTAACGTTGACTACTATGCCTATTGACATATCACCCTGTGGCGAGGAAAGTTACAATATATTACACCCCTCTCAAATATACTCATCCAACTGGTTAAATCAGGCCATTGCCAGTTTTGACAGTTTGACAAAAGAGTCAGGAAAGAATTGAGATGAAGAAACCTTTCATGATGCATGATCAATATAGTCCTTTACTTTATTTAATCACTGCTTGTGTACAAAAAATGTAAAACAATATTTACAAATGGAGACATATTAACGAAAGATCATATTTCCCTAGCTAAACCACAGCTAGTCTCACATCGCTCTTACCTACCGCAGGCAAGCTATCTTTAGCGTGACGTCATCAAGATGTGGCGTTCATTGACAATCAGATTTAAAGCTGCACTGCATTCTGTATGGGGTTTCCTAAAATCGTACTGCATTGAACATGTGTGAAGGGCATGCTTACCCTTTTCGCATCACTGATTTTCAGTTATCCATTCATATAAATGTCCTGCCGTGATATTGCTGGAATATTGCTAAAAGCGGCCCAAAACCCTAATCACTAACTTACTCTCTTATATAAATTTCACAACTATTTTGCCTTTACGCTCAGTGTCGCCTGTTTGTTGGCTGGTGTTGACATTTTATATTTACAAAATCGTTAGTATAATTCATAGAATTTCATCATTACTTTGTCATTTTACACACTATGGAATCGGTTTCGCCACAGAATCGAGATTGATCATTCTCTGGTGTTGACATTCTGAATTTAATCAGATCAACATTTGCATAATGAACGTTTTTCATTTTGGTAGGGTCCTAAAGTGAAGATGTTGCTTCAGATTGATTTTTGGTATCTTGAAAATGCATTCCTTCTGTTATAGATGTTTGGTTCAATGATGCTGCCACTCTTCCAACTTCTGCTGCCATTCTGTGAGTAACTTGTGTAAAATAGTAACTGCAAATTAACACGAATGATATATATATAATTAACAAGCTAAATTAACCATTTAAATTATACACGCTATTGATGGACAAGCAGAATAAGGATAGTACTTCTTGATCAAAACAATGTAGGTATTAGTATTGTTGATAAAAGCTTTGGTGATAAGAAGTGTAAATGATTCACATATATGGTTTTGATTAACATCGCTGACTGGACTCCTCTGGTTTGCAAAGTTAGACGTTAAAGACAGAAGCTTTGTGATAAGAACATTAAACGATTCACATAACAATGGATTATCCAGATGTTGACATTCATGAAGATGACATGATACGATTATCATTTGATGTTCTATTTCAGCCGTGGCTGTCCAGGACTACACAGTATGTGAGTGGGGCTTATATGGTGAGCACTGCAACCTAACATGCTCCCAGAACTGTGCCCTTCTTCCTCCACTTGATGTTCCCTACTGTGACACTGACACAGGGAAGTGTTCTGAGGGATGCCAGCGTGGTTGGCATGGTGATCTGTGTAATCAAGACTGCAGCCGGAACTGTCTAGAACATACATGCAACCATCAAACTGGGCACTGCACACTTGGCTGCAGTGGAACTAACACTGGACATTTCTGTAATGATACACGAGGTAAGGTGATTTTAATGAATCATCTTTCGGTATTTAACCTTAAATGAATGGAAGCTTAAAATTTCATAAACACTCTCTTATCTACATTTTAAGAATGATATGAATTTAGCTTTAAGTTAATGAAATGGTACAACATAATAAACTACTCTTTTTTGTTCTAACTGTGATGTTGATAATCAGAAAAGCAAGGGTGATTTGTAAATAGGAATTGTGCCCGGAAGCTAAATAGCAGTTCATTTTAATTTCAACATCTTACTTTGATATAATAATATCCCACAAACTCCATAGATTCACTGATATAGTTGAAAATGAGCAAAGTCAACAAAACCAATTTCATACACACAACAGGATCTTTTCAAAAATCATAATACTAAATGCAACCCTTTCTCTGCTAAAAGCTGAATCGATTGTACAGTTCCGACATTTTCAAGAGCATGTGTTTATGAATCACTATCAAAAAGTGATGATACCAGGTGTATCCTCCCCCACCGTTGGCATCCATCACAAACACATGCAAAGGCAAGTCATTTGTTCACCTGGCAAGACACAGGAAGACGTCTACCATAAGTCTATTTGAAAGCTTCACTGAGGCCTTGCATGTTGTCATCTGATCAAACAACTTCTGACCAAGTGTCATGTGATGCTCTTTGAAATCTTGGTAGAAAGAGTATGCTCGGTTGTATCTTAAACGTTGTGAAATATCAACACCAAAGACTGGAGCTACTGGAATATTGCTCGACATGAAGGGAAAGCTGACTAGTAGGAAGCTGAAGTCATCCCTCTTGCCATACAGTCTTGTAGAGAGTTTTCTTTGTTTTAGAGAGTGTCTTGTCACTCTGAATCTTAATGCATTGATCTAAATAAGAAACAAATGAGTCGGTCTCACTGGTTTCCTTTATTTCTAGTTCAGGTGGGTAAATCAGTGGAAGGGGACTGGCTAATTGATTGTTTTGGAATGATATCAGATCATCAAAAAGCCTGAAGCTTAAGTTAAACTTCTTGGGCAAATTACCTTGTTTTGACATTCTGATTGAGATGTTATGTTGCTGTTATAAATGAGGAAGTCCAGCATTTTACATTTTATTTTCGCGGTAAATTTTAGATTGCGTGTGCTTTCATTTTTTATAAAATTGTCCTGAACCTAACTGTATCTGTGGTAACCACATTTTTGTAAGAAAAGCCCCATGGATCAAGGAGTGAAGTTTTTCATGTAGTTTGTCATGTTGGATAGTGGTGTACAAAGTAGAAAAATAAATAAAATTCACAGAATGGAACTAGGTTCTTTACTGAGATTTGAAAAAGTCAAGCAAACCCTCAGCATTTTGCGAATAAAATTGGTATTAATACCACTTGTCTCAAATTCTTTCTGTTAATATGAAGAAAGCCCTTCCTTGATTGTATTGAGGATTATTGTTAGTCTTTGAGACAGAGATTCGGTAGTACACTTGTTAGACCCAACAATACATTTCTCTCTTTGAACGGAATTTTATGGAGCTTTAAAATCCAGTACAAGAGAGGAATGGGCATGTCTTCAGGTTTTAAAATCAAGTCAAAAGTTGACAATACTGATTTATGGTTTTGGCAGATGCCTTTCTCAGTTAACATACTGGCCTTATATGTGGCATTATTTGATATGCCATTTACACGAAGTTCTTTGATCAAACAATTAATGTAGTGATGCTGACATATAATGGTCATGTTATGTGAGGCCTTGTCAGTGGGGACCACTACAAACTTTTCATGTCGGGCAGCCAGACTTTGGATGATGGCTGACTTGAACAGAATGGGTTTATTCCAATTCCGTTTCTCTTTTTAAGTTGGTGCATTCTACCAATGGCAACATCACGCACTGACTTAACCTACTCTTAAAGACATTCAACAGTTTCCTCTTCTCTTTTGGCCCATTTATGGCATATTCTTTGACAGCATCCATAATGATTTTGAAGTTGAGATCCCAAATGGAAGGACTTTGCTCATGGGATCTTGGTCCATATTTGAATAACTGAAGAAGGTTGTTATCGTCAACAATAGAGAAGTCACATGTGATCATATGGCCTGCACAGTATGATGAGCCTTGGCAGCCACAAGTAGTTGCATTTACACCATAAACAGCCAAGTCCACGTTCTGCTACATATTCCTATAATTGCTTGCTTGTTTGTTGTTTAACGCCTCACTCAGCAATATTCCAGCTATATGACGGCGGCCTGTAAATAATCGAGTCTGGACCAGACAATCCAGTGATTGAAATCATGACCATAAATCCACGCGATTGGGACACAATGACCATACATCAAGCAAGTCAGCGAGCCTGACCACCCCTTACGACAAGCACCGTCGCCTGTTATGGCAAGCATTGGTTGCTAAAGACCTATTCTTCCACGGATCTTCACAGGTCTGTTCCTATAATTAAACAACCTGGATGAAATTGTTTTCGAACAGGAAAATGAAACTGTTGAGTGGTTTCTGAAATTTGAAATATTGTGGGACATTCTGGGAAATTGTTTTGTTGTCTAACTTTAAAATAAACTATTAATCATGATGCATGATTTTTTTATTTATTGCTAAACGCATTAGAAAATGTTAATACATGCCAGAACATCACCTGACTTGCTATGATCAAAATAGACATTAACGTGAACTTTGATCTGCTAAATGTTCCACAATTTCGTTTTAGAACACGTGAAGGATAAATCATTGATACTTGTACTGATATGGCTCAATTTAGGTTTGACAAATGAGTTTGTGAAAAGATCCACTAAAATGTCAAAACCATCCATTATATTAACTGTTAACTCTTTTGTTGCCACACATGGTCTTAAACGAACCATCTTGTGTAGTCACAATTTGCCATTGCCAAAGGCTCGAGAGAAAATGACTTTAATAAAAAAAGAATGGTATAAATGTTGTTTCAGCTGAAGGGATACACTTAAAAGAATGCTATGCATTCTGTTGAGAGTTATGAACTGATGAGCGCAAAAGTAGATTGACCCCTCCAACTTTCTTTTTCATAATCACAGCTCCTTGTCAAGTACCATATATAAAAGAAGTACGCCATGGTGGCCAATTCTCTGTCAAATATATCATGAGATAACAGAACTCAGAACTTAAAATTAATACTAAACTCTCTAGATCTGCAAACAGTTGGATGTCATCTAAAGAAGAAACACACATGGAAAAGATCATTATCAAAGTGGAAGGGTCAAATTAAGAACACCTCTCAACAAAGTGGAACATATTTGTTGAGTTCCACTGCTAACTTAACATATACCAAATAATGTTACATTGTGAAATAAATGTTCAAATTATTTTTTTTCAAAATATTTGCTGTGACGATCTGTAATCTCAACTAATAATTTCTTAATAATCACTTCTCTTTTCGCCTGTTTCAAGCCTCAAAGAAAACTTTCATCATCTGCTTACGTGCACTAGCATCAAGTGTATGCCATAAACTTAATTCAGGATTAAATACTGTTGTACGAAGAAAACGATTAAACGACTGTATAGTGTCATCAATAATGTTTGTTGTGTCCTACTCTTTTAACAGTGAAAATACACACCATTGTATGAGGATATCGTAATTAGGGGTTTTATTCATGCTGACATGAACAATTCCTCACATTAATGATTTGCCCACAGCTATTAGTATAATAAAGTGCGAAAAAGAAGTTACTTAATCATGTATCTGATACTTTGTTTGTCCAGACTGTGGTCATGGCTGGTATGGGGATCTGTGTCAACATCCCTGCAGCATCAACTGTCTGGAGGAAAGATGCAACCACGCAACTGGAGCCTGTATACTTGGCTGCAGTGGGACTTACACCGGCGAGTTTTGCAACACTACAAAAGGTACGAAGATACATATGCTTAACATGCAATACAACATGTCTCATATGTTGGGACCATGTTGGGACAAAAACAATACCACTAAAGGGAGGTAACTCCGAATTACTAGCTGCCAGTGTCACCAGCAAAGGGCGGTATTGTACGAGCGCCTCGATCAATTTACTGTCACTTACAATTATTAGAAACATAGTTACACAATATACTGCCACATTAGATCCTAAAATAGGATGGATCTTTGGGCATAAACAATATAAATTATTATGCACGTGGTCAAGACACAGGTGGTGAGATATTAAATCCGTACACTGGCGGGTCTAGAGGGTTGACATCGTTTTATCCCCTTTGATTGACCAACTGTGACCCCGGTCACACCTGAACTGTTGTTTTTCCTTCATAAGCAATTTTCTTTTGTATGGTCAAGTTGAAACGTCCTTCATCTGGTAACGAATATACTGGACAAAACCAAATGTCCCTTAGACCTACCCAATTATCACTTATATATGAGTGGGAATCAAATGGTGGCACCCGAAATTTGTGTTAACGATTGTGTCAAAATTAATGGACGAGTTATCTCTATTGTTCAGCCACTTGGAACATTCGGTGCCTGCAATATCAAAACTGAATGGTGACATGAGGAAAATAGGGTGGTATGGACTAACTTTGGTCCCCGAGACCTTATCGACGGCCCCTGTTTCTGTTTTGAACACTTTTAAGTGTGAATCACGGAATGATTTTTTTATGTTATACCAGGTGACAATGTTGCATCAAAATCGAAATCAAAACACGTGGAGAAAAACTCAATGTGACGTAAATATTTTGGAGAAATTGGAGAGTTCGAGAATTGAGAGTTCTGAACAGTAACGAAAACGATATTTTCTTCATTGACGTGTTGAATTGGTAATAAATAAAAAAATACGCTCTTTCTCGCAAGAGTGAAATGTTTCTATTTATTAGCTGTTTGTATGAGCACTTATATACACTTCTTTGACTCCACTAGTTGTGAACAACAAGGAAGACGCAAACAGCCTGACTGACAAACAGGTTGCTGTCGCCTTGAATGTAGCTACTGTAGTCGGAGTTACAGTCACACTCACAGTCTCAGTCATTGTGTACTTAAGGTAATCATGTAGTTGCATTCAGTTTTGTGTTTAATTGTGAATTTATGTTTGTATTTCCTGATATATTCAAATATTCATACAAACGTACATGCAGATTATCATGACAATATTCAATGTTATTATTCCGTAAAAAACTCAGTACTCAGTGGGCAGTACGGTAATTAAATGGGAACTACAATAACTGTGGACCTGTAGAGTTTATTGTAATATTAGAAAGACATTCCAAATCTTTAAACTCAGCTCATGCCTTGATGAGAGCCATTTGACTTGGGCGGCCACGCGTCCAGATGTGAAACCATTAGAACCTGTTTGGGATATTCTAGTGCAGAATTCGACCAAGCCGAAACTAAGGTTACATGCTACCTCACCTCATTCCTGTTCTAGTGCTTCACAAATGCTACCTTCTCAAATACCATGAAAACCTGCACACAAATCTTCCAACGTACTTGGCAACAAAAGTTGATAAAACATGGAGAAATAGTTTTCCCAAAACGCACACATATCATACACGAACCACTGTTAGGGCCACAACAGTCATTCTTCTTTCATGTGAATGCCGTGAAATTATGAAACTAAAAGGTCTAAAAAATAAACAGTCCCTCGTGTCAAATATGTCGACTCGACTTTAGCTAAAACAAACATACAACTAGCAGTTTCATTACCGTAAACCGACAGGCTAAACATCAACCTAGATTGGCGCTGTCCTCTCTCTTCTTTCAATTAGCTGGAATAGTGGGGCGTTTAACAACAAACAATCAATCAATCGTTCAATTTGTTAATACATCGAGACTGTCAACAGCTGCTCTGGCAACCGTTAAATGCGAATGAAGTCAAGTTCAGCCACGTTGGGGATCGGGATGAAGAGGTATTCATCACAAATTTGTAACACTGTTACAAAAACGCTCCGTTCCAAATTAAAAATATTAGACATTGAATCTACATAACAACTCATATTCCACAATAGGTGTACCTCTTAAGTAATACATTCATTCTTGCAGAATTAGGAATATTAGCGTGGCGCGTTACATGGGAGAGCCCATGGTTATTCTTGCCCATGTTAAGTCCCAACACGTGCATCAAGCTTACCCATGTTACAGAATATTCGCGTCAATGATCACAGCATGCCTGTCTCCTAACAATGTCTTCATTACAACAATGCCCATGATGTCAATCACTGGATCGTTGGTTCACACTCGAATATTTACAGACCACCGTCATACAGTTGGAATATTGCTGAGTGCGGTGTTAAACAACAAATAAACAAACAACAAAGCATAATTCCGATCCGATTAAACATCACGGGTACCATACTAGTTTTCAAAAAGCCATTACTCTGTTTCAAAATGTATTTCTATTTTGCACACATGTTGTTAGATACAGGGCGTAATATACATTTCTGTTGTACTTTGTGTTGTCTTGTTATGAATTTTAACCTTGATTCTGGAAGCATAACACATTTCTCAACCCCCACCACACAAATTAGTGAGAAAACAGAAAGTTCGGAACTGAAGAATATGTCGCACAGAGCCTTTTTTAAGAATTAGCAGTTTGGCTGTGAAAGCTTCTGATTTGTTGTCCAAATCAAGTGGCATGATGTTATCTCATATTTCTAGTTGATATGTTTTGAATTAATTAGATCTATTGTTGAAATCCTGGAGAACAGAAGAGAAACGAATACACTATGGATGTGCACTAAAATTGTCTTTTATAAAGGAAATAATAACAACTCGAAATGCCGTGACATAGTTCATCCAAATAATGTTACACAAACTTTGCATATTCTATTATAAGCCAGTCGGAAGCCTTTAGTCCGTTATTGGGTGTGGCCTCAATATTAGTCAGTTTATAAAGACATCAACGCAACAGATATCGCCTGGTTAGCTAATCAAATGAATCACTTGCAATTTATTTGTATTGCACGTTTGCTTTCAGAAACTGAAACATTACTTTTCACAACAATGTGTATGACACAGAAGTTCGCGAAATAGTGACTATATACTTCAAAACTCAACACAACAAACATGGAAGGTTAATCCATTTCCATGTTTTTGTCTTCAGCTGACACTGTGGATCATTGTAATGGGGTTAGATGTTTGATTGTGTCCCCTGCCTTGTGCTTACGTGACAAAACCATTTAACAGACCTTTGCCTGGAACAACGATGTCATATAAATCGGCATATACTAATGGTATGTTAAAATTACAATGACCAATTTAATAAGTACTTGTGTTATTTTTGTTGTAGATGGCGGAGAAGAAAGAACAGGTAACACAACATTCTATATCCTAAATTCCATTACGGAGTTTGGTGTACAGTCTACATAGGATATTCCGACCATAGAATAATTTCCTAGACCTTCGGCCTATATAGATTACCTGAAGGACGAGGCACAATGAGGGCCAATTTATTAAATTTTGGGAATTCGATTTTCAAATTTGTGATGCAAAAATGTGCCAAAAGTCTGATTAAATTTTATGATCTTCTGTCTGTGTAAGTACCGTCATGCCACGTGATCTGCAATTGATCATTAATTGGGGGTCTGGGATTCGTATATTCGAAACACAAAATAAATCTGTTAGAGTTTCATAAAGAGTCAATTCATTATAGTAAAATCTGATGACGAATGCTCTTTGAGCTTTTTAAGGAAATGTTTGCTATTGTTTTCAAATTATCTTCGTTAACTGGTCCGATAATATGAAATGATTGACCCCGGAGACGAAAATGTTAAAAAAACACTTGTGTACTGACGTGTCTTCTATTTGCAGAATGCGGGGACAGACGAATAGGTAAATACAACAATAAATTTATTTGTCATCTGCACTATTGGCTTCACAGCATTGTTTGACATGAACTACATATATCATGTTATCTAATATCGTTTCGTTTTGTAAATGTACAAGACTATAGGAAATCAGTTGTAAAATGCAACGAAGAAGAAAATGTTGAAAGCCACTTGTACATTGACATGTCTTCTGAAACAGTAAATAAAACAATCAAATAATTTGTCATCTGCACTAATGGCTGCACAACATATATCTCGTTTTCTAATAACATTTCATTTTGTAAATGTAGAAAGCTCATTGATATGTTACTTGTTCTTTGTTTCAGTTCCCAAGGTCCGGGTAAGTAACATATTTCCGCTCATATAAAAAACAAAAAAACAAAAAAACAAAAACAGGACCCCTTGTATGATTAGGACTACGAAGAAATAACAATGTTAACAACTGAATGGTTTGAGATTGCAATGACTGAGCCTGGTACTGCAAGCACGACATGTAGTGTATCCCTGAATGATAAGAGTTAATAATCACATCACAATAAGCTCCTCCCACCAAAGAAGGCACAATCATCACTCATCCCAAGTTAAACTGGCATGACCATTTAAAAAAACCATGTGATACAAGAACAACAAAAGTATGCTTTTATCCATGGAAATATCACGAATGTTTTTATGTTACCGTGTGGGAATTAATGTCATAATAATATCAAATCTACTGTACTATCTTTAAGATGTGAAATACTCAAATGTGTGCGATATGGCTTATATTCCCTAAGTCCACTACTTTCTGAATGCAACTATCGACTTCTTCAGAAACGCGATATGCCCTTATGCCCTGAACAGTTTGATCATATAATAATGCCTGAGTCAAACATAATTCAGCTTTCCCATAAAATAATAATTGAGTTTTCACCACGCAAAGCAGTGGATGATAACACATGTAACAGCAGCAAGCCACGAATATATTTTAGGATGCCAACGTCTTGGCAAATCTTCATGATCCGAGGTGGATGCACGTCTGCGTTCAAAGTACCAATGATCAGTAAAACCAGATTTCATGTTACAGCATGTTGCTAAATGAATTGTTTGACCGTAAGCAATATGCTACAACTAAATGACACAACTGATGGTGACCCTCCTCCCCCTTCAATGTCATCCTTTTTTCTCGTTTGCTTATCACTGAATCCCGAATACCAAGTAACACAAATCTACAAGCACATGCCAGAATTCGCCTAAAAGCACAATGTTAATCATAGACGAACACCTATGTAAACGTTTCTTGGTCATAAAAGGCTGTGATTTGAAGTTACTTTACTAAGAAACTATCGCAAAATATAATATATAAAGGAATGTACACCTTTAATATTTTTTTAAATAGTGAATCTGCACACCAAACATATTTTGTTTGCATCCCGCGTGCCGCACTAGATACCAGAATCGAAAGTACCAATAGTTGAGAGTTGGCAGCAACATGATTCAGCATGACTTACAACTGATATGGAAGTTCATTTGATGTGGAAACTATGCTCTGAGGTATATGTGAGCTGTTGCATTGCTGTGAGATTGATTGACGCGTTTGAAGCATATGAGTCAGCTTCTTTTGTTTGAAGCTCACATGAACTTTCGATTCATTTGAGCATACTGACTGAGCATTGTTTGACATCCAACTATCGTAAACGTTTCCTTAAACTTCTGTAAAAAAATCACATATACAACGGCGCCTATAATTCCGATACAAATTTCATTCCATTAAGTCTAATGGTTCAATCTTTTTCACGAAACAATTCTAGCTTAGTTGCAGCAGTTATTAGTTGTTTCACATTCTGTTTCTTCCTACATTAACCCAGAATATATCATGGTTCTAGAGCGAAGTATTTGCTTCAATGGATTTGCAGAAAGTTCTAATCGGCACTTGAAATATTAGCCTTGTTTGAGAGTTAGCACATATGATCATTCTGATAATTTTCCATTGAAATCGTTGAGCCATAGGTCCAAATACTGGAAGAAGAAGAAAGAGTCATCGTTATCCCACGTACCTATATATGTAGATTTTCTTTTTTATATGTAATATGTCTTATTACAGAAGTAAAAACTATGGTTAGTCCTAAATAAAAGCGACAACATTATTTTCACAATCATAGGAAATCTCTGAACACACAATGATTAGGTGCCTCACTCTGGCAGTGTGGGTTCAAATCCCGGACTGGACTCAACCATAAAAAGTACGAGATTTTGTACTTTACAAAGAAAGTGTTATCCAAAATATAACACCTGTTACATAAGAAATCTCATCAAGCATTTTTTTCTTCAACCAGAGGTTGAATCATTTAAAGTGGAAACCCATACAATTACAGATGGTAAGTTAAGCATAGCATATAATCATCAAGGTTTTATTGCTGAACTGTAAATAAAAAGGGAAACCTGAAGCAAAGCAGTAGAGTTTGGTCGATTTTGCTTTCCTTGTTATGTGGTAACTATAACTAGTTAATTTTAAATATCTATATCTACCAATGATATTGGAATTTGGCCGAAAGGGGATGTGGCAATCTGCAACATAACAGCTATGTTCTAATGACTCTTTTTTTCTGAAGAAATAATGCGTTTAACCAAAGTCAGAGCTGCTTCAATAAGAGAACATTTAACACATGAAAACATGTCCATAAACCTTATGCAACATCAAAAATATAAATTGATGAACCATTTCTTCCTTCAGGTAGACACAAAACATTATATGGTTTATGCAGCTTCTTTGAAATAGGGGCGGTTGGGTAGCCTAGTGGTTAAAGCTCGTCATACCGAAGACCCGGGTTTGATTCCTGACATGGGTACAATGTGTGAAGCCCATTTCCTGTGTCTCCCGCCGGGATATTGCTAAAAGCGGTGTAAAACCAAACCCACTCATTCACTAACTGAAGAAACCATGAAACAATTAAATATATCAGGAATGAATTATTTTCGCTGTCATTTATACTTTATTATGAATAATGCAGCATAGAAATTTCTTCATGGAAGAAACATTTTCTTTTTTAAAAGCCAAGAGGAGAGTCGATTGTATGATTCCGACTACACATTGAACATGTGTTTATGAATCGTTGTCAAATAATAATGATACCAGGTGTTCGCGAAAAGGTGGGCATATCCTGCCCCACCGGTGGCACCCGTCACAAACACATGCAAAGGCAAGTCTATTGTGATAATACGGGGACATATGGTACTAGTCAAAATAGGGAATTGCATCGGACAAATATGGTAATGTCCTCCACGTGTCACTACCATAAAACGTTTTAAAAGCTTTACTGAGGCCTTGGGTGTTATTACCTTGATCAGACAAGTCGTATCTTGCTCTTTGAAATCTTAGTAGAAAGGGCTAAAAATTGGTGAATTGTAAACACATCAAGGGCCAGAGCTGCTGCTTAAGTATTTCTCGACATCAATTACTCAACTTATTGACCTTTAATAGCGTTTTGGTCATATAATGAGTGGTGTGGCTCTACTTTCAACATGTTTGAAATGACAGAATTGTCAGATACCATGAATATTGCCTTCAGATATATTTCCAAGCATATACCTCTTTCAAATGACTGAACTTAGCTGCAAGTATCCTAATGATACTTCTGCTTATTGGATTAGCCAGTTTGACATACATGGAGGTCCATTTGGATTGTCTATTGTTTGGCTACACAGGGCACAGAGAATAGCACCGATCCACTGTTTCGTGGCTTTGGCTCATTTACCAATCGTATTACTAAACTTATTAAATAACTGCCGGTTTCAGAAGACCCCTTACTTGTTAGATGTTACAATAGTTCACGTTCTTTTTCAAGAAAGTTACTACATTAGAAAGTACTTCATTTTTTGGTAATGTCACTACAGGTTTGGGAAAACGCATTCTTAGTACATAAGTACACCCAGTTTGGATGACTTTACTTCCGGTCTCAGCAAACACATTCTTCCTACATTAAACCAGACTATCACATGATTCTAGCACAGGTTGAAGCGAAGTGCATGGTATTTGTAGTTTGAAAAATGCTACTTATTGCATTAAAACTAAACCACGTGAACAAAAATCCTCTCACTTTAATTAAGAGTTCGTAATATGATAATTCTGAACTTGAAAATTGAGTAACAATTTAAACACGTGCTGACTTCATAGGTTCAAATACAAAACGAAAAAGGAAATGTGATGGGTTAGTATCTCGCATTTAACTGAGTTTTATATGGAATATGTTTGCCAATTGTCAGTGTTGTGCATATACTAAAAATATGAAATATAGACACAATATAACAATCCCTATATCTTTATAAACAGATGTGGAGAAAGTGTTGATGAAGAGATGCAACGATGACAGGAAAGTGAAGGATGCCTTAGAGACCTGCGGCCGTGTGACGCTGAGTGGTGGAGGAAAGAAAACTAGGAGCGAAGTATGGGGATAAAGGCTATGAGGTTGTTAGTGTTTTGAAATTTAACCTGCAGCATTATGTAAATCAAGGGAAAGATATGTGTTTTATATTTCATTCTTTTTTGAAGACATAGAGAATCTCACCCGAGTGTCTTTTGATATCAAATATATCAACACAAGTTGATAAAACTGGACAAATTCCGAGGCTTTGCCACTTTTATCAACGATATATTTGATATCAAAAGATTTTATTTATCATCCAACATCATTCTTTCACCTTTTTCAATTTGTAGACAGTAATAAGCAGTGTCTTCAGGGTAAAAAGTGTTGCAAACAGCTTCAGTAGCAGAGCCATTTGTAATGTCTTTTTATTGTGACGTCATGGTAACCAGTGACGTCACAATGGTCTGCAAAGCATTGTGATGTAATTTCATTGCAGTGTAGATGTCGATTGATCTCATCCAAGCATATCTCCTGTGGGAGCCAGTTTTGGATGATAAAGTTGAATTACCAACGGATACAACACTCCTTCAAAGACTTTTGCAAGAACTAAAATCTAATCTGAAAAAGCGTCATTCTGAAAATGTACAAACGTTGTACGCCATCTTTACTTTGAACTCATACATGGTGAAGTAGGAGACTATTTTTTTAGTGGTCCTCCCTTCATCAACTTTAACGTGTGATTTCGTTTGAAGATATTAAGGCGTCTTCAAAACAAAATTGCAAAGACGCCACCATTAGACAAATACAAGTTAACAAGATTTTTAGATTTGGAACAATCTTCAGGAAACACCAATTATTTTGAAGCAATGTCTTGACATTGTGATAAAAAAAGTGTTTCCGTGAACCTTCTTCTTTCTACAAGAGAAACTATTCACTATTCTAAACTTCAGAATGATCAGTCAGTTGCATTGTCATTATTCACAAGTGGATCTACTATATAAGCTTGTACAGAAATTGATGGATCATCATTTCATTCATGGTCGCCCCATCAACATCACCCTCAGGCAGATACAACTCCAAATCAACCCAGATTCAACTCTTTGCGTCCTAAACCTCACAACACCACTAAAATCTCCACGACAGATCTCCGTCATCAGCCAGCCCTACCGCCACTGATCCGCGGGCCAGCCAAGCAAAGCTGCAGGTCAACGATCCCTTCTCTACCAATCACTACAGCTGCTATTGCTGTACAACCCAAGCCCCGCCCGCCGCCAACTAGGCCTTCACTACCCCTCTCTCTTATTATAGTTTATTATATTCTTTTTCATTACTATGATTCACGGCTTCCTCATCACACCCCACTCAACACCAATATCTAGCTAGAATCACTCTCCAGGTTTAACAACAACACAGCAAATTAATCCTAACCACTTCAATTTCGGCCTAAGCTAAATCTTCCCCAAGGCCTCAGGAACACCTCTCACTACCAAACAATGGAACAACGCAAAATATTAATCCCAATCCAAGTTATCTCAACCAATCTTAGGAAATTGATGAAGACTAAACAAATCAAAACACTGTTCTCAATCAACCCCAAACCCATCAACTACCCTAAATTCATCCTTCTGACCTTCTCTACTGTCCCCTCTACTCCATTAAATGACACAGTTTCTATTCACAAATTTGCCATCTGCCTCTGCCAATTGAATATGAATATGTAAACAACTAGCAGAGGTTCAAGGCAACATGTTAATCAAACACTCATCACCACCACAAATCACAGACTACTAAATCATAATATCAGGAGCAAAAAGCCCCCAATGTTCCATCTGCCATTCTTTTCAACACATCCCAAACTCTAAAATGCAAACAACTTTTCCCATTTCAGATCAGGACCGAAATTTCGGATCTGCGACGTCCGCCCGTTGAATCATGTTATCCAGCTAATATAAATAACATCTTCAATTCACCAGGCAGCCGCCAAGTTAGAGATCACCAAAAAAAACGTTAATGTGTGTCGCTGACAATGATCGAAGGGAGACAAGGTCTGACACGGTGAAAAGAGGTGAATGTTGACACAGGTTCCGTGTAGGAGAGCGTGAATAATTGACGTGCCAGACTAGGGACTGAAAATACTGTATGCTAAGCATTTGGGAGATAACTCCTGTATGGAAGTATAGTTCATGGTTATATAAACTATACACACTAACGGCGTTGCAGGTGTAAATGCGAACAAGATCTGTATGTCTCCACTGATCTCTTGTTTGGTTAGTGTTACAAACTGTCAGTGATACGGTCGCAAACATGCCGTCCATTCCATCACTAGAGTTATCTCAAGATCCTTATCCACTGTCAAGCTCAGGCTTAGAAATTAACACTAGACGGCAAGCCCGGGGCTTGTACAAATTCCTGTAAGCTAGAAGAAATTTTGACAAGGGGTTTTCTCCTGACCTGGGCTAGTGAAACCTTTGAGTTTAGTTAATTGTGCACGCTGGCGACTATGACCCCAAAAGAGGAAGTCAAGTGATGGAAATCGTATGGGCAAGTTTCGCACATCAGTTTGCATAAATGATGGTGTGTAAATGCTTCAAAGAACTGTCTATCAGCAGTTTCATCATTGCCAGATACTCAAGACAACATGAATGTGGTTCCCAAGTGTGCTTAAACGCTCCTTTCTTAAACATGATAACATGTAGATCTTAGACATCATACACCTCATCAGGCAGACTAACCTGCATCAGTATCAAAATGAACGAAATATTTCGCAAGATACCATAAGACAATCTAATCAGTGTTTGGATTCTATCATTAATCAAGATTTATATCTGTGGAATATATTTAGAAAATAATGAATCAGTAGTTAACCGAATTGCATGTAGATATACGTACGCTAGCATGGGTTGGATGCTTTGAACCTCAAACTGATTGTAAACTCATCTGGTGAACAACATTTTACAACTTCATATACATGTTTTGAAATGATTATCATTGGCTTGGCCCATGGGTTTATTCATTGTATAAATATAATATAAAATATAAAAATTCCTGGCTTTATGTTAGTATTTTTCACTGCTTCATATTTGATCTCATCACATCAACATAAGTGTTATCTATTTTATATGGGTGAAAAAATAATGTGGTTAAAATAATTTAATGCCATTGCGAATGCAGACTGTTATGTTGTGTTTTGCATAAATGTGTGATTTATGATGTACTGTGTAGAATTCTATTGATGTATATGAAACGTCTATAAAATGTACAAAAAATTATCTAGTATACAGAACAGACAAACGTAACATACAACCTTAGAACTGCTCATAATACAACTATGCCTTTGTTACGTACAAAGTTATCTGAATCCTCGTTAATACCACCCGCTGTTAGATTGTGGGATACATTACCTATTCAGTAAATGAATATTGAAACCTTCTCTCGATTTTCATCCGGTTTACATCTACAGTTCCGTCATATTTCCCGTAAGGAAAGTAAACACAATGGATATAAAATTTAGACTTGAAGATAGTGAATTGAAAACTGACTCATTTTGAAAAGGTTTAAACGAAATCAAAATGCTGATGTGAAAATTCGTATGACTTTTTCATTGATTGTCCTTTTTAAAATCAGCTTGATGAACTCACTATTGTTAATTGTGAAAGATACTTGAGTTGTGAATATTTGACCTAATACTAGTTAGCAATGCAATGCTAGTTGGCAATGCAAATGTACCTAATCTTGTGAACAAAACATTTTTGGGAATGTACTACATATATAAAGAAAACAATGAGCAATGTGAATGTACAAACGCTTCTCTATTTCTTTTCTTTCCTTTCTGTAATTTAATGTATTAATTGTAAATAAGCACACATGTAAATATATGAAATAGGGCGTTCTTAGTTGTCATAAGTTATGCCTTGTCCTTTTCATGAGAATAAAATATGTTTAAACTTAACAGAATAGAATTTATTTATTTATCCTAGATGTAAGAGTACAGAAAGACCCCGATAACAAACTCCACACCAGTGTCTACCGTAAACCCACCCATACGGATCAGTATCTGCACAATTCCTCTAACCATCCACCACAAATCAAGAGAGGAATTATCGCCACCTTAGCCCGACGTGCCGTCAGCATCTGTTCCACGCTACAACAGCTAAAAACTTAACTCAACCACCTCCGCCATGTATTCACTAACTTCAACAATTACCCTACCAGCCTTGTTGAACAAACAATCAACAGCATCCTCAGCCCTAGAGAGCGGCCTCCACGACAACAGACAGCCCCGTTTGTCATCAGTCTCCCCTACATAGAAACAGCCAGCCACCAGATCCGCAATCTTTCCTACTACCATCGTAACCTTCGCCTTATACTTTTGCGCAGCCGGCCCCATAAACGTCTTATCTAAATGCCTAACCGCCAACAAAGTAGGTATCTGGCTAAAACAACACAAAATCCACTTCAACAAAATTAAAGAAGCCCTTAAAGGATTCCAAATAATTTTTCCAGATCTAGACTCCCTTAATGCAGCAAAAGAAATCACCCAAATATTTCAATACACAGTAACCCACCAAACCCCTAACTGGCAGCTCTACACTAGATGCGTAATTAGGGTCAATCCTAAAGAAAGTAATGAAGACTTAGAAATGTTCGCTAAAGAAGCCAACGAAAACACAGACATGTACCCCCAACCTAAAATCACCAGCACTAGAAGAATAACATCAAATAGGAACGGAAAAATCTCAAACACTCCAATAGTTATAATCAACTTCCAAAAATCCACTAAACACCCAGAAGCCCCTAAATTCATCTCCTTCGGAGCATCAACTAAACTAGAGGTAAAACCTTATACTAAACAAGTAAAACAAGGCTCTTATTGCCTGCAATATAACCACACAGCAAACCAATGTAAATTCCGTAAAACTAAATGCAGAAATTGCGCCCAAACTGACTGCCCAGGGACATGCACACCCTGGTGCATCCACTGTAAAAGTATAAATCACTCCTCACTGCCCGCACAGACACACCCTCACACAACAGGCCAACAAACAACACATCAATATCGACACGGCCAAACTCCAAACCAAAAGACAAACA